GTCGTCGACATCACCGTCATCGCCATCATCCACATCATCAGCAACACTGACTGTTGTTATCATCAAACCAACAACGAGTTTTTCTAAATGTTGTTGTTGTTGCTTATTTCATTGTCGTTTGTTGCGTTAATGTGTGGCTGTTGTAACAATGCTTGCCACCATTTCAAATGGGGGGAGGTGGACTCCATGAATGCCTGACGAACTGACTGGATGGTTGGTTGAATGGATGGATGGGTGTTAAAACAAAGCTAGGTGCTATAAATACCAGTCGACAAACTACTCCAGTCATTGCATTGCGTTTCACATTATCTCCAACCGAATGAAATGCAATCTCTTCAATGTGATTTTCGTCGTTGTTGTTGTTGTTGCTGCTGTTATGGCGTTAAAACATCCATTCGCACAAAAGAGGGTTAAGTAGTTTCCAATGCAGCCTTTCTTTACGGGAGCTTTGCGAAACCCGTTTATGTCGAATTCGTTGTTAAGAACAATTTTTCTCATCGCGTCTCTTCAAAAATTACCGGATAATGCAATTTTGCATTGGCGTTGTTATTGTTGTTGTTGTCGTTGTTGTTGCATCGAAGCCACATGGCGTGGGAGTTGCTTTGGTTGTTAGTCTGAATTTTATCGTCATTGTATGTCGCTTTGTTTCGTCCAGCACCTTTTTCATTGGCTTGATTGTTAATTTAAAGATAGTGCAAAGTTTTGAAATAGCAGGACAGTCATCCGCTTAATTGTAGTAGTTAAGCAGATGAATATTTGAGAAGAAAACGAAAATGTTAATTGGCAGACATTGTGGTTGCTGTATAGAAAATCGTGATCTCAGTGAGGAGTTAAGGTAATTCAAAGGATTGGTTTTTTAGAAGAATGATGAATCCTCAGTTTATTAAAAACTATTTTATTCTTCAGAACAAATTCCTAGTACAGTGACGATTTTTACTAAAGCAGATTTTTGGAGGAAAATGACAACCACTGAATAGTATTAACATTAAAAAACATCTTCAACGCAAAACACACTTTGTATAACAAATTGAAACAAGTAACAAATTTCAGTCGGTATTGGAACTACACAGAGGTTTTATAATTCGCTTTATATATGTTTTTATCAAGTTTTGAATTCGCTTCAAATTAAATTTACACAGAGGTTTTATAATTCGCTTTATATATGTTTTTATCAAGTTTTGAATTCGCTTCAAATTAAATTTACAAGTTTATAAAATATAGACCCTTTTGTGTAGAGATAACAGATGGTGTGGACCAATGAGTCCCACCGTCGAACTAGGTTGTACAAAGTTCAGTTCAAATCTGGTCAATTTTTGGTGGATATTTCGAGCGATTGATTCCACCTTCGAACTTTGTCTAAGTGTAGTAAAAATATAACTTTGTGCAAAGATAGCACCAAAACACAAACATTTTAACACTTTTAGGGGGATACCAGAAGAATTTGGCAGAGTCACCCAGTTTTCGGACTTAATCTGGGCTTATTAAAATTATTACAATGGACAAAGTTTGAATTGAATGGGGCACTCAATCCGAAGTATATTTTATATTTTGGAAAGAAGCGGACTAAAGTGATCCATCTCCGAATATTATATAGGTTTAATGAAAATATTAAGATTATGAATTTTGAGATTTCAAATCGGACACCAACTTCGGTTTATATTGAATTTATATATTTTGACACTTTGTGCGTAGGTACTAGAAGGAATGGACCCATTGAGACCCTATCTAGGTCTCATAAAAATATTACAATGTGCTTCAATTTAATAATTAAAATTCCATAATTTCTAATGTATGTGAAAACGGTCTATAGATCAAATTCGTATCATGGTGGAAATTATTGTCCTGAAAACTGTTCCCCGTATTCGACGAATAATCAGTTCATACTCGATGTTTATAATTTTTGTTGCGCTGTTTCATTTTTTACCTAAAGCATTAAAACAATTCTGGCTTAAACATGAAATAGTGACATATGTGGCATTATCTATTCACCGACAATACCACACGCCTTCTTCATTCTCAACAGATATTTTTTTTTTCAAAAATCGCACAAAACTATTGTTCGATTACAAGTATTTCGATATAAGCATAAATGCATACATATGTATGAATGCATGGATGCCAAGGAAATTTCAAGATAGCAAGCATTACATGCCACATTGAAAAACGAAGACAACAACAATAAAAACTAAAGAAAAACATATACGAATAGCAAAAGATTTCAAGGTTCGTGACATTTGTAATGTGAAAGTCGTATTGAATTCATTGCTGGTACTGCTCTCTGTTAAGTGTTCACGATGCAGATGGGTTCTTGAAAATTCTATGAATATGTATGTATGTATACATGCATGAAAGTGCAAATCTATAGACACTCGACTGTTGAAAGAGTTGTTTGCTGTCAAACGTTGTTCACCCGGAAATTCTTTTACGAAACATGTTGTATGGAAAATATGTAGTGTTTATGTAAAGGATGGGGGTTTCAGGGAAAACCAAATGTATAAAATGTTAACAATTCAATATTGTTTTGATTGTCACAGCAAACAATGTACGCCGCTGTTAACTGGGAATGTTTCGATTTTAATTACACATTTACTTTCATGGTGTATAATTAGGATTTCGCATGGCTTGGAAATAAATAAGAGATAAGAATAGAAATTTGTTTGTGGTGTATAACATTATATATTGGCTTATAAATAGAAAAATTGCATAATATTTGCATTAGTGTGATTTGAAGCTTCCTATCTAAATAAATAGTACACTGTGACGTATGATTAGGAAATATATAAGTGATTAACATACGCCATATGACACCGCAAATTAGAGAAATAGTAATACCGCCAAACATCATGTTCATCATAAACAAGTGAGCGGAGTAGTATAATCGGACGAGGTGAGCGGAGTAGTACAGTGGGACACTAACTTTCTGCGGAAATATATACCGTGCCTGGGCAACATTTCGCGATATTTACACACTCTTGACCGAGTAGAGATCGACAGCTACTCTTCCTACCCCTCGCATATTTTCGGAATATTTTTTTCCGGGGTGAACATTTACGCCATAAGATATTGATTGATTTGACCCACTTAATATTGATCGATCAAAATAGTCATTCTAATTAGTTAACCTGATTTCTTTCACCATGTGATGTGTTGTAATGTTCGGTTTAATATTTGGTCTATAGAACGACTTGAAAAATAAAACACATACAAATTAAGTTTTTGCCCTATTTCAACCACTAAATATCATCTGATCATATCCGAAATTTATAGGCAAGGATAATGCCTATAATTTTCATCAACGGAACAATGTGTAAAATTTCAAATCGATCAGCGAGAAATATATGCTGTATAGAGAGGCAATGGTAATCAGAATACACAGATCTCTGTAAATACTTACGTATAACTCCCACATTCGAGAATATACACTGATATAATTAGTATCAGTTTAAAGGCCAACCACTCCTCTAGTACATACTATCATCTTCTAAGGTTTATATCCTTCAGGAGTAAATATATTCGCCGTAGAATACAAATGTTGTAATTTTTCACACACAAGTCTGGGTCCATACGACCCGCTAACTATTGGCAGATCTTCATAAAAAAGAGTTATGGCGTTTCCATGGTCAGACAACTTTCTCAGCGTAAAATTTTGTGATGCTCGGGTCATAATTGTGGCCTCTAGAGCGACCAGAAAAACAGGCAAAAATAAAATTATTGGTCCAATTCATGCCCTAACTATTAGGATGGGATAAATAAATTCATTATTTTTATATAAACGATGTCCGATTTGGACCAAATATACACCGTTTTGTAGTATGATTTGTTGTCATTTTAAAGGTATCTTCATAATGACTAGAGATTGGCAGTGGGTAAATACCCAAAGGGTAAATACCCGGTAAATTTGGTAAATACCCGGTAAATCGGGTATTTACCAAATACCCATTTGTGGGTATTTATTATATTGAATCGGTAATACAACATCTTACACCCTATTTCCGGGTTTCTGTTATCAAATCGATGTAGAATGGATAGATTTACGATACTTTAAAGACGTGGGTAAATACTTGGGTAAATACCCGAGTTTTTACCCAAAAATTGGGTATAAACTCATTAACTGCCGAACCACTTGACATAGGCGGCCAAAATTTTGCATACATTTTTTTAATGTCAAAGCAAGTATAGAAAAGCAAAATGGGGTCCCTGGGTCCAATTTTTTGTATAGCCCCCATATAACCGTACCTTCCGATTTTAGGTAATTTTTATCTATTAGCCAATTTGATTGGCTGGATTTTGGCTCAGAGAATTCTCTATGAGTTCCAATTGTCTACGCTAGCCCATGTTATCTGTCCTATATAAAGGTCCTGATTTTGGGTATTTATATATATTTATAAACTCTTTAACGGCCGAACCACTTGACGTGAGTTTTTAAGGTCTCATTCTCCATACAGGAAATAACGTTGATATTTGAACCATTTGTGTCAAAAAACACATTTCGAGTGAATATTTCGTGCGAAAAGAGATCTCACTATGGCAAATTATAACCAATTTGATCGTAAAATGTGTCTAATAGGCAAAAAATACCTTAAATCGGGAGATACGGTTATATGGGGGCTATATCAAAACTTGGACCCAGGGACCCCATGTTGGATTTCTATATTTGCTTTGTCATTAGAAACATGCGTGCAAAATTTTTGATACGGATCTGGATCCAAAGAAACCATAAGGTATATTTTTGTCATCATCCATGAGGCTGAATGAGAATATTAATTAAATTTGCAGTCTGATTTTTGTCTACAGAACAAAATCACGTTTCTACTAGCTTATTGTTAAATTTTTGAAAATTACAAGCGTATTTAATCATTTATAAGTGTTTATATTTTATACCAATATCCGAGGTGGCCTTAATGATGTACTGGTTCTTTGAAGTCTTCCTCTTTTTATATTTTTTGTTTTTATAAATTTTAACAATTTGCTGTCATTGAAAAAAAAACTTGCATACTTACACATCACTTTAAGTTCCACAACATTGCTGTCGCCATCACCTTCAACATTGGAGGCGGTACAGGTGTAATTGCCCGCCTGGTGACGTGTTACACCCTGCAAGGCTAAATCACCGCTGCTAACTATGACACCGGCACGTTGATTATGTTGGATGATTTGATTCTAAAAATAGAGAAGAAGAAGAAAATAAAAACAAATAAGACAAACATCAGGAGGGAGTGAATAAATAAACACCATAACATACACGACACAAAATTATAATGATGATGATGACGAGGACGAGGACGGCGATGAAGAGATAAATTAGCAAAAGTTGCAGATATGCACAGACACACATACATATGCATGGGTGTATGTGTGGCAGCATTCTTTGTCAAGTTGTGTCAAACTAAAAAACTTGGAAAGAAAACAAAAAGGTTCCCCGAGAAATATCATCAGAATTGTCTTTTCTTGTCTTGTTGTATTTCTTTCCAATAATAATGGCAACAACGCGTTTGCGTGTGTGCTGTCTGTTTAACAACGCTAATGAGTATTTGACTAAAACAACAATAACAGCAACAAAGGCACCAGCAAGGAATGACAAATAAATGAAACTTCGACAACGTGTTGTTTGTTTGATCTTTCAAAGCGTCTTCGTGTTCAGTTGCTTCTTCATGGGGTGTGTAAGTGTGAGTGTGCAGTATAACTTAGTCCCATTAATATTTGTGTGTGTGTATGTGTGAATTTAGAGTTTCTGTTCATTCTTTCTTCACAAAATTTTATGTTTTCTTGTCATGTCCTTGTCTACTATTATCATTATTGTTTTTTCTTCATGTTGTTCTTATTGTTGTTATTTCTCTAATCCACCATTCCAGCAAGGCTTATGTGCCAAAGACAACAGCAGCACACAATAGTGTTTCGGTGCTTTGTGACAAACTGAAATTATATTTTAGTCCTGCTTTGGCATTTAAGTTCGAAATTGCCGTTGTTGCTGCTGTTGTAAGTGCCGCATTAAATAGAAATAGAAAGAGTTGATAATAAGGCGTTAGATATCCTTTGATGTGGCTGCTTTGGCGTTAAGGCATCATTTCTAATTCCCAACCGCACAAAGAGAAGAAAATTGTTTTTTTTCTCGTTCGGCAAATGAATTGTCGTTTGTCTTTTAGCCGAAAATTTGCTGAAATCTAACATCAAAAGTGAAAATGGAGGGGCGGGTTGAATTGCTTTCGTTTGTCGTCTTTGGTAAATTAGCAGAAATTATGCTCAAATGAAAATTGAACAAAAATTGTCGTTTCAAAAGCTAAATGTTGCTGATTACCTTAGGCAGTTATATGCTTGGTCGCTTTGATGACAGATGTCGCAAAAGAGCTGTGGACGGAATTTTCTTTAACATCAGAGAAAAACAGAGAAAGTAGGGGGAATCCAACATTAAATATTTACATCCATTGTTGTGTATCCAATAAAAGTGTACATCCTGATTCAACACATGACTCAGTCCGTGATCACGGTATAGCCGAAAAGGCGGACGGATTGTATATAAAATCTCACAGAAATGATGAATATTTTTCGACTTTTGGGTATAACCTCCATTGAAAGGTAGCCTCAAACTTTTCGTTTTTCAAAAAATTTGAATGCGTTTTCTCATCGAATTGGTTGTCCACTATTAGATGAAGACTACGTTTACGATCTAATTCCGATGAAATTTGGTACAAATCACATATTTGGCCTCAGGACTTTTCTCTCTCTAAATATCCTAAATGCAGTTTCTTAATAAGTAATGGTTCCATGGAATATAATGCATAGAATCACTTTCTGAATGTCCGTCCGTCCGTATGTCCGTCGATCTGTCTGTCCATGTTAAATTGTAAACAAAGAACAGGTCGCATTTATGATCCGAATTGGATGAAATTTGGCGCGGATCATTTGTTTGGCACAAGGAAGAATCCTATTGATATTGGGAAAAATCAGTTCTTAGATATCATATATCGATTTAAGGTAAATGGTGTACCCCTATATATCTCTCGATTTGCACGAAATTTGGCACAGTGTAATGAATAAGGTCTAGAATGATGTGTGTTAAGTTTCGTGAAAATCGGTTCAGATTTAGATATAGCTCCCATATATATCTTTGTCCGATTTCAGGTAAATGGTGTACCAAAGTTCTTTATATATTTTTCGATTTGCACGAAATTTGCAAATAGCGTCTCTCTAGAATGATGTGTGCAAAGTTTCTAAATTAGAAGATATATATCCCATATATATTTTCATCCGAATTTTGGTAAATATATGACATCATTCAGGAGAAAGATGCTATGTTTCATTAATGAAATCGGTTCAGATATAGTTAAAAAACAAAAATGCGACGTCTGTTAGGATATATATGTACAATATACCCAAAGTAGTGAAGGGTATCGGCCCAGTCCGACTTTACTACTTTCCTTACTTGAAGAATTTAAAATTTGAAAATTTTAATATTATATTCAAATAAAATAGATTTTATTTTACATAAACAAAACCTCAATTTTTAATTATAAATGATTTTAATTTTTTCTACTAATAAAATACTAAAAAATCAGAATTATAAACCCAACACTAATAAGCAATTAATAAAAAAGAAGTGGTTTACTTGTTATTAATTAAGCTACAAAAATGCAAATCTTTATTTAGTAGATAATTAACCCAAGTGGCTTAGGAATAAATCTTAACGTCTATAAGTATCCCCTTAACCATTCATTTATTTATACAAAATTCCCTATAGTAAATCAAAGTATTTGAATTTTCATTAATTGACTTTACCATATATTTGAGGTCATAAAGGTTTACATTTGATATTACCACACAATCGACAATTTATCTGCCTTTGTAATGGGCCAGTAAATGTGTATATGTGTGTGTGTGTGGCTTGCAACTCAAAATGATGTTCTAGATTCAATTTGAATACAAACCGAGAGAGTATTTAATTACAAACAAAGCCAAGAAATTAATAACAAATAATTTGTAAAATACACACATATACACAAACAAAGTCTCTTCGACACATCCACATATATTTGTGATTAGACAAATAACCACCAACACCACCATAGATAAAAAGGCCACAAAAGATCGAAGAAAGGCCAAAAAATAATATATTCTGGATTTGTTGTTGTGTTGCTGGATTAGTATTTCAAATAATCCCAGTGACCTATGTTTTTGGAAATTAAGCAGAAATGTTGTTGGTCATTTAGTTTATGACCTCAGCATTGTGATGACAATAGTTTACACACACACACACACAGATACAACACACATTTTCTATATTTTCCCATAAGAAAAACCACACAACCAAGCATCGAATGTCCCTTGTCATTTATTTATTATATAATAAAATACACAACGGCAACAACAAAAAATCCTTACAAATAAATTGAAACAATATTAATTAGTAACAGCAGTAGTAGTAGTTAGTTAGACAAATAGACAAACATGCACACACACACACACACACCAATGACAACTACACAAATATTCCAGCAATTCCGAGGAAAAAAGAACTCTATCTAGGATGATATACATATGGTTTGGTCACTGGGACATGGACGATTACAAATTAAAGAAATTAAGGACAAATTTGTCGAACAACCAAAAAACATCAGCTATGATAAAACCAACTACATACATGTATACATAATATCATCAAAATTCGACCAACTAACAAATTCACACACACACATACACACTAAACCAAAAAAACCATCATGAACAACATCCAACTCCATTAGACAAGGCTTATGTGAGCTAACTAGAAAGAAAAAAAAACGCAAAAACAAAAAAATGTACCAAATGAGAAACGTGATGACATATCAGGAAAAGTGACAAAAAGGGAATAGAATGGACGTCACAGTACACTCACTCACACATACACACAATTACAACAAATATTAATGACAAGACGGACATGATAAACAAAACACACAAAAATGATTATAATGACGTTGAAAAATTTTGAAAAGTAACAAACATGACGGGCATTTCAACTAGAATCTAACTTAGCTCACAACACCCACACAAATACACACATTTACGTACACAATTATAAATGTAATCGAATGTGTTCGAATGTACTCAACAGCAATGGCTACTCAAAAATAAAAGCTGAAAGGTTTTCTCATAAATGGCAACACCTTCATCGTTTGGTCAGAATAAAGCACACACACACACTAACATATATACCGAGATTTTGTATAATTAATGACAACAAATTGACAACTAGCAGACAATCTAAGTTTTTTTTAATCTGGAGAGGGAGAATGTATTAACCCAAAGAAAAATAGGGAAACAAAAATAAAGGATAAAGTTTTAAAGGATAATTCTGAGCATCCATCATAAAGTAAAACAAATTAAAATTGTTATTTAATTCGGCCATTTCCAAAATTGTTATACAGTCACCTTGGTGGTACAATAAGGACCCTGAAAATACGTTAAATTAAAACAGTGCAGCACTATATTTGATACCCTACACAACTCCCATTGAGCGAACAGTTTCTGTGGATCTAAATTCCGAGCCTGGGTAATATTTGGTGGTATTTTTACTCTCTTCATCGATTAGATGTCAACACTACATATTGGTTTTCATTACTATGACAGCCATTGAATTAGTTGGTCAGAGTGCCATCCTCATGAAAAATTTGTTATGTTCGGCTTTTAATTGTGGCGTTTATAGCGACTAGAAAACAGACAAAAATAAAGTTTTTGGTCTATTTCATCCTCGAAATATCATCTGATCATCATCGAAAATTACAGGCGTCGTCCTTGGCTATAACCTGAACGTAATGCAAAATTTTGCCAGCCATCATTTCCGCCCTCTAGTGTATTAATACTAAACAATATAAGAAAACATAGATCGCGGTAAAGTTTAAGTAAAACCCTGGGTCCATTTGCCCCCAAATATATTGACAAATCTTTACCAAAACAGTCGAGTTTTGGTGAAGATAGGAGAAGATCCAAAATACCGAATATTGCGGATACCGTTGTATGGGGGCTACCATGAATTTTGGGTTAATATTAATAATTTTTCGTACGGATATGTGCCATTCAATGAGGAATTAGTTGGTCAGAGTGCCTTCCTCATGGAAAGTTCGTTATGTTCGGCTTTTAATTGTGGCGTTTAGAGCGACTAAAAAACAGACAAAAATAAAGTTTTT